ATGAATGAATGGAATTCCAAAATCTCTGTAGATGTTCATTGAAATGAAAAAGAAATTTTTTTTTTTTTTAAAAAAGGACACTGATGGTTCTTGGTTAAGAAATACTACCCTGTGCTAGCTAGATCAAGAAAAAGTTGACAGGGTTGAAATTTTCAGTACATTCTAACTATAAAAAGCAACAAATTGTCAGGTCATGCTGAGGGTATACAAAGAGGTAAGGCATCCTGGGGCAGACTTTCTGCTGGCCTCAGAGGAACATAGGCTAGTTGGCCAGGCTAGAGATGCTATCTTTTCCAGTCCAGGAAATGTGTGCAGGTAGCGTGTCCAGTCAAAAAGACAGTCACTGCCAATATATTTTCCTGTGTGGCCATTTTGCCTGTGGAGTGTGTCAGTAAGACAGCCTAGTAATAAGGGCCCTAGTCACAAGAGGTAACTCTACTAATCCAGGGGTTGGTTACAGACCAGATGTGGCACAGTGTGAAGGCTCTGAGAGGAGTGCTCTGAGAACTTCTAGCTCCAGATACAAGATGGCATGGTTATGGCCTGAGGTAGAACTGGGTCTTGGGGTGGCAGGGAAGCATACTGCCCAGACCTGGTGAATAATAAGGGAAGTGGCTACAGAAGGGGTATGACAGGGAGCTCTGGTGGCCTAGTGGCAAGGAGCTGCAACTACAATCCCAGAGGCACATGGTTTGAATCCACCAGATGCTCTGCCGGGAAAAGGAGGGACAATCTCCTCCTGTACCAGTCAGATCTGATTTGACGGTACACTCACTCAAAAATTAAAAAAAAAAATAATTAAAAAAAAAGAAGGGGTATGACAAAGAGGGAGATTGGACTTTTTCAGCTATGTGGATGTCATTGCTGCTGCTACTACTGCCACCCTCTTGGGTTCTCATGCCACAAGAACAACTGTTTGGGATGGCTAGTTTTTGTTCTGGGCTGTGTTGTGCTCCCTTATTTGATGCTATAATTTACTTCTGCAAACTTTTTAACTGCGATACATACTTCCTCCTTGACCAGAATGTAGCATTTAATAAAGAATCAATGAAGAAAGAAGTTCAAGCTGCACTGAAGACATTGCCAAAAAATAAGACTTCAGCAATTGATGGACTACCTAGTGAGATGTTTCAACAAAGATATGCAGCCCTGGCTGTGCTCACTAGTCAATGCTAAGAAATTAGGAAGGTAGCTTCCTGTCCATTAGACTGTTATATACTGTCGAGTTGCCTGCAATCCATAGCAACCGTACGTACAGCAGCTCTGAACCCTTCCCCGTCCTGAGCCAGTCTCACCGATTCTGACACACCAACCCCCAACTGCCCCAGTTACTGTGTCAATCCATCTCATCTGGGGTCTTCTTCTCCTGTTCTGTCCCTCCATCCTTCCAAGCATGATGTCCTTCCCCAAGGACCGGTCGTTCCTGGCCACACGCCCAAAGTATAAGACACAGAGCTTCAAATTCCTAGCCTCTAAGGAGAGACTTGATTTCACCCTCTCCAACACAGACCTATTTGTTTTCTTGGCTGTCTACAGTATGTTCAAGACTCTTCTCTAGCACCACAACTTGAAGGCATTGATGATTCTTCTATCATCCTTACTTAGTCTTTGTCCTGTTCTCGTAGCAAGTGACTGCAAAGACCATGGCCTGGAGCATCTTAGTCTCAGACTTACATTGTTGATTTTCAACACTCTGGAGAAGTCCCTGACAGCAATTCCCAGTGCAATTCGTCTTTTATTTCCTGACTGCTGGTGCCAAAAATGTTGACTGCAGCACAAAGCAAGCTGAAATTGTTAACCATCTCAATCTCTTCTCATCTTTTATGTAGCTACTGCCATTTGGCCTAGTAGTAAAAAAATCTTTGTTTTCTTGATGTTGAACTTCAATCTATATTGAAGACTATAGTCCTTGACTAGAAAAAATGATGTTCCCTTTTAAAAAAAATGTGATCCAACAGAATGTGAGGATTATTAAACAGTATCATTGATAAAACATGGAAAGCAAATCTTGAGGATTATTTAAAAAAATAGCTGGAACAGTACATTGACACAGAATAACAGGAACTCAAATTGAATTCCGCAGAGGAGATGGCATGAGGGATATCAGATGGATACCCATCTGTGTTTTATTATCTATGCAAAGGCATTTGACTCTGCAGATTATTATAAATTAGGGATAACTTTGAGAAGAATGGGAATTTCAGAACACTTACTTGTGCCAATGAGAAACCTATACATAGACCCAGAAGTAGTTTTCCAAACAGAGTAAGGGACACTGGGTGGTTTAAAATCAGGAAAACTGCATCAGGGGATATCTTCTCCATACCTATTCAATCTTTATGCTGAGAAAATAATCTGAGAACCTAGAGTAAATTAAGAAAAACGTGGTATCAAGATCATAGGAAGATTAATTACAATGTTGAAATACAGAGGACACAATCTTGCTTTCAGAAAATAAGTATTGCAGAAGATTAAAGACTACAGCTTTCAATATGGGTCATAACTCACTATCAAGAAAATAAAAACCTTCACCACTGTATCAATAAGCAAAATTGTTGACAAATGGAGAAAAGATTGAAGCTGTCAATGATTTTATTTTACTTGGATCCATAATCAATACCCATTGTATCATGTCATGAAATCAAAAGATAAGTTGCAGCTCCTGCATTAGAGCTCTCCAAAGTGTTAAAAAGCAAAGTTATCACTTTGAGGACTAGCATGCATCTGACTCAAGCTACAGAACTCTCAACTGACTCCCATGCATGCAAAAAATGGAGTCATTCATAAGAGCAAAGAATTGATCCCTTTGAACTACACTGTTGACAAAGAACACTAATTATACTATGGACTGCTTGAAAAAGGAACATATGTGTCTTGGAAAAAGTACAGGCAGAATGTTTCTTAGAAGGGAAAATGGTGAGACTCTATTTTTTTTATTATCAGAAAGGACTGAAAAAGGACTTAATGCTTAATTGTTGCTGTTAAGTGCCACTGAGTCAAATACAACTCATAGGGAACCTAGCAACAAGAGATCTGAACTCTATCTTACCCTGTGCCAGTCTTATAATTGTCAACACATTTTAATCCACTGCTACATATACTGTACCAACCCATCTCATTGAAGGTCTTCCTCTCCTTCACTGACCTTCCACCTTTTCAAGGAATAGCCTTTCTTAATAACACATTAAAAATATGTGAGACACATTCTAGTTATATTTTCTTCAAGACATACGTATTTGTTCTTGTAGCTATTCATTGGACAGGACTCTTCACGCCAATTGTTTGACGTGCATACATTCACAAAACACAATCCAAAACCTTCTCTTTGGCAATACCAGCCAAGTTTTCTTAACCACCTACGCTAAAATCAACACAGGTCAATAAACTTCAGTGTTTTTCCAAATCTACTCCCATAAAAACCTAAAAGGATGTCTACAAACAATTAAAAAAAAAAGCCTGCATGAAAAAGATGGCCTACTTGGGTACACGTATGTGTATTTTAACTATTTAATTATCTGATTTAATTGAGCCTTGAACAAACAGGACTACAATATACTTTCGTACTTTTCTCAGACTTGTTTTATTAGAAAGTACTATTTAAGATCCAGTTCACAATAAACAAACAAAAAAGTCTCTAAGTTGATAAAGTTCTGAGTACTGTGATACACTCAAGGATAAAAGAACATGCATTCTAAATTAATTCCTGAAACTATAATTAATATTAAGGCCCTAATATGCTTCCTTAAGTCGGGAAAAATGACTGTAATTACTTGGTTATGAATTAGCTAATGAAAATACAAACACTATTTCGTACTGAAGTCGTCAGAAAATTGGAAAAATAATTCAGAATCTTAAATTTTAATTCCCACAAGTTAGGATTGGGAGAAAATTGTTTCTTCTAGGCCGAAAAGTCAATTGTAGACCGTTTCCTGAAGGATGGAGGGAGAAACGAGGCTGTTTTTAATTATACAGACCTCGATGTGGCTTCGGGCCACATCTGCTGTGCGATTTACTGCCTCTGAAAAACCGGTGGAAAGTCAGTTATGTTTGGATGGTACTAAACAACAATAAATCTGGTTAACACTTAAGTGTCAGGGACTGGGCACATTTTCAAAATTAACTTAAACTTATTATCTGCTTCAGTGTTTTTTTTTTTTTTTAAGGATCAATATTGTTGCGCTGTAGCTTCGCCCTGAAACCAGTTTAAAGATTAAAACGCCCCTAGGGACAAGAAACTGTGCAGCAATGCCAAAGGCACGAGGTTAGAATCCACCCAGTGCTCCGCAGAAAGGGAAATTTCCCCCCATGGGATTAAGAGGTTCGGGAAACCCGCAGGGAGGGTCGGCTATGGTGGTTCCGACTCTATATACAACAAACTGAATTCATCCCCCCAACAGCGCTAAAACGCAAAATTCTGGCTGTGGAAATAACAGGCATACTTTACTACCCTGAGAATCATGCTGGGTTCCCGTTAGGATTTCGGGATCATCAACGCGCGGGGTCCCGGGCGCGTTTCTCCGAAAGGCCCTCTCTAGATTGGCGCGTTTCCGACATTGTTGCATCGCACAGCCCGCCGACGTCACGCCTTTCTCCCGGGAGACACAAATAACTCGGCGTAAAATTCATTCAAGCTACCCTCCTACGTCAGCGACCAAAAAGAAACTTTTTCTTCAGGCTTTCCAGAACCCAAAGCTAATCTCCGTCACTGAATTAATCCTGTTTCCTATCCCAGCTGAACAAATACCAAACCAGATACACAACACGTGCCGAAAAAAAAAATCAGAAAAATTCCATTCTCGCGAAGAGTCAAGCCAATTGCCGCGACATTTCTTCCCGTCCTCGTCATAGCCCCCTTCAAAACATCGCGAGATTTCCTTCTCGCTGTCCCTGCCTCTTTACGACACGATGGTCGTACAAGAATGTGATACTGCCTCGACGGTCGCCATTTTCTTCCTTTCTTAGCAGCTCAGAGGAAGTCTCTGCGTTCCTCCAGAGCAACGGCCGTTGTAGGCTAACTATGGCAGACTACTCAACAGTACCTCCACCTTCCTCGGGCCCAGCTGGTGGTGGTGGCGGCGGTGGAGGGGGAGTAAACGATGCTTTCAAAGATGCGCTACAGAGAGCCCGGCAGGTATGTGGACCCCGCGGCGGGGTCCCCACAACTCCTGGTTATGGACCGCTGGGTGCGTAGGCCTTTCCCGTCTAAGGAGGGAAGAGGAAAGCGGTGACTTTCCGGCTTCCGAAATGTAAGGGGGCTTTCGTTTCCCACGTTGTGATACGAATTAGACACAGACACCTCGTATTGTGTTTTTGTGTATAAGCTACTTTGACCCACACGTGGGACACAAAATGGCTTTAGATTTTTCCTCCCCCTCCCCTCAGATTCCTGCTGCGTTCACACCTTGTGCATGGAGTTAATGTAACCTCCCCTTATCCTGATGTTTCCAGTAGTTAACTCTCTGCTGCTAACCTAAGGTCGGCGGTTCGAAGCCAGGGGAGAGAGATGTGTCCTGCTGTTGTCTGTATAGATGTAGGACGGCACCCCGTGCGGGCAGTTCTGCACTGTGTTCCAGGGTGGCTGTGGAGCCACGCTTTGGCAATCTGGTGGGCTTGGTTTTTTTGGGGTGCACATGCTTTCCCTTGGGGTTAGAGCGCGCGTAGTTTTACACAATGAGGGTGGAAGGTTCTAGTAAGAATGTGGAGAAGGACTGCGATTTGTCTTCGGTACCGATGGTAAGGGATTTGTCTTTAAAGGCAATTTGAAGGCTATTTGAGTTCACCTTTACACCTACCAGGAAGAGGCTTAAGAGAGCTGTAGTATGCCAGTTTGGAATCCATTCCCTGGGCGGAATTTCCGTGTCGATCTGTCCTACCTGCCGCCCCCCACTTCTCAAAATGGCTTCAGGCTCATTACACCTAAAGTTTCCTTTTGAATCTGCCTCTCTGTTCAGTCCTAATTTGACTAGAACTCTTTGCATTGCGTGGGTGCATGCATTTACTTGCCCAGAAGGCACTTTCTTTCTCAAAGGAAAGTTGTGGGAAAACTCAGTTAAGAGAATGGTAATCAGAAAGTCATTTTGTGGTGTCTTTGGAGTGTATTTGGTGTTTATATCATTAACTTTTGCTTCTTCCAGTAGATTTAATGATCATCCGAATCAAAAGTGATAATCTCTAATGAATTAGTATTATTCCATGGTAAAGCATATTCTAGTGCTGTAATACTGATTGAAAGCTTTTTGTCATTTTATGTTGTTTTGTACCATCCATTTGGAACCCCCTCATTCCTGAACCCCTCCAACGGGTCTTCAGATGCAGAAGATCAAAACTTCAATGTAATCATGGAGCCAATTAATAAGTAACAGTAGTACTTGATTAATTTTATTAGAGAGGAATATTCAGATCAAAGCCTGGCTCAATCCTATGCCATCTACATGGTCTCATTCATGCTTAGGCCCTATCTTTGTTGCAGGCACTATCATTCCATCTCATTGAGGTGTTGTTGATACATACACTTGTTCTAGAAATAGTTGTAAAGTTCTTTCTCTGAGTAAGGCATTATACAAGACAGCAAGGAGAGATTGCCTACCTGTCCAGGTTAAAGGGGGGAAAAAAAGTCAAACATTGCTGTGGAGTAGGACCAGATGCATAGCTAACCCCTCCAGATGTTTTCCGAGAGACTATTAATCACACAGGAGATTGCCCATCATTCTCCTGTCAAGAGTCTTCCATGAAGTGACTTGGTGAGTTTGCACCACTGACCTTTCTGTTGACAGATGAGCACTGTAACCATCCTGCGACCAGGAATCCCAGAATTTGCTCTTAACCTCTCCATTCTTTTCTAATGGTAAAGTTTGAGGCAGTTCACATAGTGCTACATCAAGCTCTCCACTGTAAGAAATAATTTTAGTGAAATCATTGTGTTTGATAATTATTACAGATGATGTTAATTATACAGTATAATTCATTATATTATCCTTTCACTTTTGAGTATGCTTCACATTTTCCATGGGGGGTGAAATCAACTGGAAAACCAAACTTGGGTGGTGATACAAACTAGAATAGAACTGTAACTAACTGTTGAGAATCCAGGCATTCCCAAAGTTGAAGGCATTGTATCCTACAGATTTTGTTGATTGTCGAATAGAGCACGACTCATAGTGACCTTACGAACAAAATACCTGAAGCCTTTCTATAACTATTGTCATGTCTCAAAGTTCATAGAGTTTTCAGAGACATGTTTAGGAAGTGGATGCCACTCCTGATTCCAAAAAGAAATGTTATAGCATGATCTAAATACATAACACTTCAAAAATATACAGGAAAGCCAAGTCCTGTGTGAAAATTTCAACCTTGACATCTCTACAGCCTGTTCTACACTATCTTACAAATCTTCCTCACACTCTCACACCAGATAGATAACCTTGGTTAAGTTACATCTCTAGAGATTTTTCTCAACAGTAAAATTAATCTACCTCACTAAGCACCTCATAGAACTGTTCAGAATTAGTCCTAAAATGGGTATAAAACAAGTATTACAGTGTAAAATTTGGCTCCTTGCTAGCACTTTGGCAATAGTAGTTTGATTTCCCATTTCATTAAGAAAATTATGTACATGTATTGTGGTTATTCTCTATTTGGTGACTTGAGCATGGTTTTTCTCAGTCTGAGAGTTAAAATGTTTTGCAATGAGGGGACTTTATAAAAGGAATGCATCATATTATCAAGGTTTCTTAGAGGTACGTCTCAAGCTCCTGCTGTCCCTCCCCAGTCTACACATGTTTCTTTAGAGTAACATTATCTAGTAGAAATGCCATGCAGGGACCATATTTTTATTCAGCTGTACATGTTGAAATAACATTTCAACATAGGACCAATACAACAGATAAGTAACATTCATTGCTCTGAGTTTACAGTAACCAGTCTGTATTGTACAGTCAAATCCATCTTGCTTTGGGCTAGGCATGTTTCAGATACTTGGTAACCTCATAATGGTTGTGGCTACTTTATTGGACAACTTAGCCTTAGAGTCTCAACAAGGTGATGTGCCTGTACACAGCTTTTGAAGAATCTCAAATGCTTTTGGGAAAACAGTACATTTTTGTCAAAGTTACTTGGTCAGTGTATCTTACAGATTTCTTTGTTGGTTCCTTTAAGATACATCAGAAGCTTAATCAAGGGTAATGATTACTGATTAATGCCCTGAAATACTAATCAGATTCAAACTCACTGCAAAGTTAGTTCCTTCATTATGTTTTGGAGGCTGTAAATTATAAGGGGAGGAGAGTGCCCACCTTTCTACCAGGAAATACTGATTATGCGATAAACAGGGAGTTTACTGAAATATAGAATATAGTAGTTTGTGTTAAAGTTCTTAATGATGATGTGAAGGTGGTTTGTTTGTTTTTTTAAGATTGCAGCAAAAATTGGAGGTGATGCTGGTACATCACTGAATTCAAATGACTATGGTTATGGGGGACAAAAAAGACCTTTGGAGGATGGAGGTAAGTTAATGCCCATATGTTTTTGTTGAAACATTGCTTTATTCATAAGGTTCCTAAAATACAAGGTTTTGATTAGCTTCAAAGGAGAAGGAAAATAAAAGAAATTTTATCTAGGTCAGCCAGCAAGTTTTGTCTTAATAAGAAATAAAGTTTTCTCTCTTTCAGTTTGCAGATACTTCACATTAATATAATGGGGAGAAATAAGGGTTATTTATGACCTTTCACTAATTTTTATCATCATGCATGGTTGACTTTTTATATGCTGTGTTTTCATGAATTTGCTATTTCTGATTCCAGTTAAATGCTGAAGTTGCTAAAGCTTGATAGTATAATTTTTTTTTAATAGTTTGTGTTTGAGGCTTACCTGTAACTGGATTTATAGTGCCTTGGTTTTTTAGTTTTTATTTTTAAAAAAATTATTCTAATTTTCAACCTAGCAATCTGCCCATATTTTTTACTTTTAGGTTTGAATCATGACTTTTGATACGTTTTTCTTTTTGCCTTCTTAATGTGTATTTGTTGTGATTGTTTTTAAAGAGGATTCTTGAGTTGTAGGATGTAATAGTAATTTTTACCAGGTTTCTTTTCATTTAAGTGTCTTTCCTATTTATAGTGAGGTTTTAAATATTTTTTAAAATGAGCTAATGATGCTTCAGATGTTGTATGTAATGTATTCTTTTTATTTTATGTGTAGATGGCTCTTGGACAAATCCGAGCAGTACAACACACTGGGAGGGAATGCCCTCTCCTTTTAAAGGCAGGAATTTTTATTTATTACCTGTGTTTAGTATGTAAACGTGAAACAAACCAGTGGATTCTTGAAATGGACACAAGTATTTCTTGGATTGTGTGTCTGAATTTTTATTGCACAGCATTCTAGTGTTTTAAGTTTGATGGGGGAGGAACAGGTAGTAGTTTCAGCTCAAAGCTGTTGAGGATTTAGATCAAGGCAGTCATGTGGTTGGTTTGAGTGTGTCTGCTGAAGGGTTACACTGCAAATTAGGAAAGTTAATGCAATTGCCTTAAAATGTGATTTTTTTTTTTAACTTAATTTTTCCACATAGCTTTGTGATTGCTATCTGATACACTCCGCTTCTGACATGTCAAATTTGCACATTTTGATAGGGTTTTTTTTTTCCCTTGAATCTTCATTTCCTTCAGTGGAAGCATCATTAGCTTTAGTATGTGGTATTTTGCTAGTACTGAATCTAAATACTTTGTGGTTTGATAGATATGGGATGGTTTTTGTTTTGGGTGTTTTTGTTCTGTTTTGTATCTGCATCTTTAAATCCTGAAGAGATTGGAAAAAAAGGACTGCGCCAAGTACAGGTTTAATATTTGTAGTTTTGATTCAAATGATGAGCCATATCCTCAGATATGGCAATAAATACTTATTGGTGTTTATTTTTGCTTGGAGGGGACATTAAGTCTTAATGTAAAGAAAGATTAAGAGAGTCTTAATTTTGCAGATCAACCAGATGCTAAGAAAGTTGCTCCTCAAAATGACTGTAAGTATTTGTTTTGAAATTAGTTAAAATCTGTGAATATTCTTTTATAATATCTCACCTGAATTTCTTTATAATGCCTGCTATCTTCTACTTCTGTAATCTCTTACTTTAATTATGGCCAGGCAGATGTTAGTAAGATTTGTTTATTGCCTTATTTAGTTTATTTGGTACTCCAGTTCCTTACCACTTGAAAAAGGAAAGTCTCTTTACTCTATAGCTAATGATCTCTTTCATGTGTTTTTCTGCCGTGTCAGTGTTGTTTTAAATATTCCATATAAAATTTTATTGCTTTCTATGTTTTTTCTGTGTGCTATGAAAAGATTTTAGGATTGTTGAATTTTGACTTTTTTTTTTCTTTTAAACACAGCTTTTGGAGCACAATTACCACCAATGCATCAGCAGCAAAGGTATAGTCAAAAGCTTTTCAGAAAAAATTTTGCAAGTTTTTGTTTTATTTTGTGTACAGAATTTGTCTGCACATACAGGATAGGTATTTCCTTTTCTTTAATGAATGTAATGCAAGATGATTTTTGTTTTGTGTCCTTGTTTAAATGTGTTACATTTTAAAATTACCCAGAATTTTAAAAAACTAACATGAATATAACTTTTTGGTGACATTTCCTAAGCTACTTCTCCAACTCCTTTTCAGTTCATGCCTTAAAACTGCTCCACAAACCTTCATTTCCTTACTTATTTCACTTTCTAATTAAGATACTGATTTACTCATGTTTTGGGGTTATATACTAAAGGGTTGAAACTAAGCTATAATAGACCCTCCAGCAGGCTTGCAGGAGATTGCCCATCTTTCTCCTGCAGAGCAGATGGTGGATTCGAACAGAATGCCGTGGCATAAGTTTGTTCCTAGAATCTTAGTATAGGACATTAGGTTATTGGACTTTCTTTTTCATTAGTAGATAACATTTTATATCCAAACCAGTTATCTCTCTTCCTGATGTTTTTCAGCAGGTCTGTAATGACAGAAGAATATAAAGTTCCTGATGGAATGGTTGGATTCAGTAAGTAACTAATTTTAAAATATTGTAAACAAAATCAAGAAAGACTACAATTTTTCAACCTTTCTTTTCTTTTTCAACACTAGTTATAGGTCGAGGAGGTGAACAGATTTCACGCATACAACAGGAATCAGGATGCAAAATACAGATCGCTCCTGGTACTGTTATTTTCTTCATATTTTCAAAGTTATAGCTTAAAAAATAGCTTAAATTGTTACTGAAAATGATTCAGCCATTTAATTTTTACTTGATCTAAAATTTTTGGGTTTACTTTTAATTATAGATAGTGGTGGCCTTCCAGAAAGATCTTGTATGTTAACTGGAACTCCTGAATCTGTTCAGTAAGTATAACAGTCTTTAAAGTCTACTTAAAAGGTCAAGATTTCTTGAATGTTGCTGTTAATGCTGAAACTTACCCAACATACCCAGCTCTGAAATTTATGCCTCATGACCTTTATCAGTTAGTGTACCTCATCTGGACTATGAGACTGAAAAGAATTAAACTGGTTTTGTATCTAATTAATAGACTAAATGTGACCTGGAACATAAAGTCAACTGATTTCTCCTTAAAACTCAACACCATTTATTAACCTTGAGCAAACCTTTGTTACTTACATTTTCCTATATATTCACTCTTCCTCTTTTTTCTAGACCATTTTACATTGTCCATTGTCCATGGACCATTGACTTAGTCCATAGGTAGTTGTGCTGCTCACCCAAAAGGAAGGCCTTTCTAGCAGTTTGGATTTGGAAGTGGCTTCTCAGGAGAAAGATGGGCAATCTCCCGTGTGATTCACAGTCTTGAAAACACAATGGAGGGTCAGTTCTGACTCAATAACAATCAGTTTGAGTTTGGATGCCCTACTAAATCATCAGTATCTGTTGTGCTTTCACCATTTTACTGAAAACCAAAGCAATCATAAACTTTCTACATTCTACCAATAATGTTACAAGACATCCTTCATTTATCCTCTATAAATAATAGTACTGAGACACACTGCATTTTGTTTTCATATCCCTAAGCCCAGGCCCTCTCGTACTAAAAGATTTTATCCCTACACTTCAACTGTCTGCCTAGTAGCAAGTAGCCGCGCTGCATTTCCAGATGCCTTTGGTTCAAATCCACCAACTGCTTTGCAGGAAAAGGATAAGCAATCTCTTCCCATGTAACTGCCTCTGAACACATGCTGAAGGGTCAGCTGTGAATCAGTTCTTACTCGACAGCACACAATCCTGCATAATTAGTTTTTTTAGTTAATAGTTTTTTCCATCTCTACTAGAGAGATTATTTCTAGCAGCAAACATACTGGAAATATCTCCTCTTGCCCTCAATTTTTAACAACAAAAATTCTTCCATTTTTCTACCTGCTTTTACAGTAAAACTTCTTTGAAAAGGTGATTCCACCATACATATATCATCTGTCTCGTTGCTAGGTTTGGTTTTTTTGTGTGTGTGTTCTCAAATCATTCAAGTTTCTAGATTTACTCTTGTTTATTTGAAATTGTCCATTATTATAGTCACAAATGAGCTCCATATCATCCATCAGCCTGATAACACTTGAACTGTTACTCAAAATACTTGTCCTCAACAATCTTACTAGTTGTTTTTATGTTTTATTTTCTGGCATCAAGATGGAAATGCCACAAAAATCTGTGTTTTTAAGTGGCTTCATTTCATCCCACAGCTTTATATATCATAAATTTTATGTATTCCGAACTAAATATTTTCTCTTTAGCTTTGACATAATTTCTAAGCTGCGAATTCCTCTATCCCAACAGACCACTCAGAGTCTGATTTGACTGTTTCAGCAACACAAGAAATAAATTGTTAACACTGTTTATTCCTTTATTTACACCATACCCTCCAATCCACATTTTTATTCATTTTAGTGTGTTAACTCCAGTTAATTATTTTTTTTTCTCCTTGTGCCTCTTTGTTCTATGAGCAACTCTTGGGTCATTTTGTTTTCATACTTTATTCAGAATCAATTCCTTAAAATTTTATACTCCTACTTTAGTTTGTATTTACCCTCAAATACTTCGAACATATTATCAGAAGGTGCTAGTCCTTGGAAAACATTATGCTGGGAAAAGTAGAAGAGACTATTTCGTATTCCATATGTGTAAAATCTATACCATTCACACATCATAGGTTTTGCATTACCTTGCGGGGGGCCGGGGTCAGTAGTGATTGATGGCACTTTCTAAAAGACAGGTAGTTTGTACTTTATAAAGTTAATTAAATACCATCCCGGCAGGAATTCTTGTTTTGTTGCTATTGTCTATTTGTTGAGGGAATAAGTGAGTTTTAACATGTCTACAAGTTTTATACAAGAATATATGAAGATTTGATTTTAAACTGCAAATAAATTGCATTCTCATATCAGCTTAATTCTGTGGTAGCTTTAGAAGTTTGTTGCTACTTCAAAAAATTAGGACTATTCTGTAAAATACTGAAAATTATATACCTAGATAACTTACTCCATAATTTTAGAATCTGTATGACATTTTCTTTTAAAATAAAGCATTATCAAAGTTTAACTTTAAACCACTTGATCCTGAATTGAGCTGAGAAGAGTTCCTGATTATTTTCTATTTCTCTTAGTAGCTGTTTGGTATGTTGCAGCTCAGTACTTGAATTTTCCATTTGTTAACAGATCAGCAAAGCGATTATTGGACCAGATTGTTGAAAAAGGAAGACCAGCCCCTGGCTTTCATCATGGTGATGGACCAGGAAATGCAGTTCAAGAAATTATGATTCCAGCAAGCAAGGCAGGATTAGTTATTGGAAAAGGAGGAGAAACTATTAAACAACTTCAGGTATTGTATTTGAATGATAATTATGTTTATGTTGATGCCAGTTTTTCTCCTCTCTTAATTGTTAGTGCTTATGGTTTCTCAATTTTTAACAGGAGCGGGCTGGAGTTAAAATGGTTATGATTCAAGATGGTCCTCAGAACACTGGTGCTGACAAACCTCTTAGAATTACAGGAGATCCATACAAAGTTCAAGTAAACTTTATGTTTCATAAAAAAGGATGGGCAAACTATTTTGAAAAATTAAAAAATATTTTGAAACATCCCCATTAACTTTGTTTTGTTTTGTTACAGCAAGCCAAGGAAATGGTATTAGAGTTAATTCGTGATCAAGGTGGTTTCAGAGAAGTTAGAAATGAATACGGGTCACGAATAGGAGGAAATGAAGGAATAGATGTAAGTGAAAAGAACTCTTCAAAAAATGTCTTTCCAATTTTGTGTTAAGCCTCTATCTGTTTCCTCACTTTCTGTCATAGAATACAAATGTGCATATTTTATGTGTTACTGTCTAATAAGTATGTATACTTTTTTATGATTTGATACAGAGATTCAGGAAGCATGTGGCTTTTAATAATCAAGTTGTTTGGTGTGGGTTTTTTTTATTTTTAAATAAGGTTCCCATTCCAAGATTTGCTGTAGGAATTGTAATAGGAAGAAATGGAGAGATGATTAAAAAAATACAAAATGATGCTGGTGTTCGAATTCAGTTTAAACCAGGTGAGTACATTATGCATTCTTTTAAGTATAATGTGAATTTTGTCTTTAAGGTATTTTATTATTTTTATTATTATTATCATCAATGAATATCTACAGAGATTTTGGAAAGGTATTTGTTAGCAGTTACTTTTTGGATTTTCATTCAACCAGTTTTATGCCTTGAGTTTATAACATTAATTACAATGCCCACAATGTCAAGGCATTTCTTCCTCATTTTTATTTCTATTAATCCTTCAATTCAGGCCTTCAGGGCTTTGTCATGAGGAAAAGTGCTACTCTTTTTGACCTTTATGATTGCTTCTGGGTATTATTGGGCACTTTATGTCCTCTCTATTGTTAGGCAAAAGTTTAACCCTGGAGTTGAGTTTTATTCTAGATTCCAAGGGTGACTAAAAGCCATGTGGTGCTGCTGGTGCTGGTGATAGTATTGATGGTAGCAAGAACCAATTCATAGCTGACAGTCCAGCAGGTTTTCAGAGCCTGTAAGTCACACAAGAGATTATCCATCTTCTGCAGAGCAACTGGTAGATTCAAACCATGTACCTTTGTCTGTTTGCATCACAACTTCTTACCACTTAGTCACCAGCGTCTTAGAAATTGCACCAGTCTCTGTTGGACCAGTAAGCCTGATCTTTTTCATGTGATTTTGCGGTTTCTTCCACGTGATGATAGCTGACACCAGCTAGTCTCAGTAGTGGAAGTTGAGGTTTGTGTGGCCTTGTGTTCTATGGAATGTTTGAAAACTTACTTACTTTATTCTTGAAAGGACTTTTGCAGTTAATTTTGACTGTCATACATTTACTGTTTAATGAAATTTCCTTCGTTTCTTTATTTTTAAAGATGATGGAACAACACCTGATAGAATAGCACAAATAACAGGACCTCCAGACCGATGTCAGCATGCTGCAGAAATTATTACAGACCTCCTTCGAAGTGTTCAGGTTTGACAGAACATTAACATTTGGATTTTTTTCACTTTGCTTTGGAAAACCTCCAGGTTTCCAAGACTGTAAATTTTTATAAGAGAGGACTATTCATCTTTTCCCCTGAAGAGACTTTAATAGTGAACCTTTTGGTACACTCACTACCAGAGTACATGGAGGCAAGGATAGTGAGACTTCATCTCAAGTATACTATGCATATGGTCAGGAGGAATAACCTCAAGGAAGATAGAAGAGAGATAGACTGTGACACAACAGGGACTGTGAGGATGGAACAGGGTAGAGTGAGGTTGTACATAGGTGATGATATATGAGCACTTAACAGCAACATGCTCAATCCAGCATAAATAGAACAATGTTACCTTTTATTTGGAAATTATTTCATCTCTGAATCTCTAAATCTCAAGTTTAGAGTTTTTGGGGAAAAATGGACGTAGAGTAACTTGATCGTTGATAGTTCAGTTCTTTGTTGACTTTGTTTCTTTTTGTCTTTCCTTAGGCTGGTAATCCTGGTGGACCTGGACCTGGTGGGAGAGGGAGAGGGCGAGGACAAGGGAACTGGAACATGGGACCACCTGGTGGTCTACAGGAATTTAATTTCATTGTGCCAACTGGGAAAACTGGATTGATAATAGGAAAAGGTATGTACTTATAATTCTGATTTTTAATATATAGTTAAATTTTTAACATTACCTCATAATTTTTTTTTTCTTCTAGAAGCACTTTTTTTCTCAGTGTTTTGGTAGAAAGGCGTTCCTATTTCAATATGTAGCAACTAAAACATAAACATAGGGTACTAACGTATTAAGATAAAAAGTATTTGTATCACATAAAGTAGCAGGACTAAGTTTGAATTAGTACTGCTAGAAACATTCTGTTGATAGGAAAAGTAATTTGAGTGGTTTGGGATTTGGTTTCCTTTTCTTGGCTTGAATATCTTTTTAAAAAAATTTATATTTAGAGAAGAGCAATTTAAACCATATATATTTCAGTGAATTATCCATATTAAAGTTAGAATTTCAAGAGAAGCAGAAATCACATCTAATTTTGGTACTGAAAAAAGTCTTAGCAAATTTTTATCAGAATACAAGCCACAGTTTTTTTAAATACCTTGTTTTGTTGCAACCCTTTTCATTCTTGAGAATGAAAACCACTCTCAGTTCCTACTTGGAGTAACCCTGTATATAGGTTGGAGTAGAACTACACCATGAGTTTTCCAAGGCTTTACGGCTTTATGCAGACCGTCTGCCTCATCTTGACCATACAGAGTAGTTTTTGAATTCTTATCAGCAGTCTGTCCTTTTTTTTTTTTTTTGGTGGTGGTGGTGAGCAGTCTGTCCTTAACCTCAGCATTACCATAGATCCTTTTTACTTTTAATACCTTTTTTATATGTGGTTTTTATTCTTTATAATGAAATTTCTCTTTCAACTTTAGGAGGTGAAACTATAAAAAGCATAAGCCAACAGTCTGGTGCAAGAATAGAACTTCAGAGAAATCCTCCACCAAATGCAGATCCTAATATGAAGTTATTTACAATTCGTGGCACTCCACAGCAAATAGACTATGCACGGCAACTCATAGAAGAAAAGATTGGTGTGAGTGTTTAGCCTAAAATGAAAATTTTTATTATGTTACTGTTGTGTACTATTAAATCGGAACAAACTCGGCTGACACCACCCCCCCCCCATAAGGTTCTCTGAGGCTATAGATGCTAGGGGAGGTGATCCTTGTACTTTTGGCTTTGGCTTAGAAACCAATTCCATACCATTAAGCCACTAGAGCGTCCTTACGTGATTTAGTAGGTACATATCTAAAGGAAGGGCTTCCAAAAATAAAAATACCATAATTATGCTATACAGGTGTCCTGAAACGTAAATTTAGTTTATCATACAGATTGATTTAATGTAGATAACAGGGTAGCATTGTCTTCAAACAGAATACAACCATTGAAGGAAATGGCTAAAGAGAATTATTTTAAGAGTGTAAAAGTATGAAGGATTTTGATGATACTTTTATATAAAAGACAAATAATGCTTTTCAGAGTTCTTTTACTATAAAAAGTTAGAGTGTAAAGAATCAACTTTAATCAATGGGATTTTTAAGGAAGGTTTCTCCTTGATGCTTCCTTTCCACCTTAAAAATGACATAAATATCCCAGATTCTAAAAGTATGAACAGTACGTATAATTGTTTATATAAAAGTGTGGATTCCATATGCAAACATTGATGCCTAATCACAATAATTAATGACACTTCTTGGGCTTGGATATTACTAGCCTAACATACATGGATCAGAATTTTTGTTGAATTAATATTTAGTGACTTAGCACAAAGACTGCTTGTGTCAACCATTTATAAAAACTATTTCTAAACTACCATCTAAAGAGAATGGAGCTCTGGTTGCCTCGTTCAGTAAGGCTAACCTGAAGGTTCTGCTAAACCTAATTGTACCTGGGTCAGATCAACCAGAGAAGCTCCACAGAAGTTGGGCAGTATTTTCCTATGTGATTTAGGGTCTCTGAAAACCTGCTCTGGAGGTTCAGCTTTTGAGTTTTGAGTAAAGAAATAGATTCAGATGCTATTGATTTTAATGATTATTACATACCTTCTTAATACAGTGGTTGAGAATGTTTTGTAATATGAGTGGGGAAAGAAAGGAGGCCTAAAACTTAATTTCTTAAGACTATCTGTCATTAGTCCTCACTTGTTAACTGTCATGGTACAGTGTTTTTCATTACAACTGTATTGTTGTTTACCTGCAAGTTGGAACCGACCCATAGCTGACCCTGCAGTGGGTTTTTAGAGGCAGTCAGTTATAGTAAGAAAAGAAATCTCTCAACATTTTGCACATTAACGACGATATATCAGGTATCATTATACAGTGATGTATGTATGTATGTATGTATGAGGTGAAAGTAACACATTGTGATGGTTAAAGGTATTTTGCCAGTTTTATAAAGTGGACCTAATTATATAAGTGAGGGTGAATGTGTATAGCCACTTTATATCTGTTTCTAAGACTGTAAGTCTTAGAGGCGGGAAACTTGACATCTTTCTTCTGTTGAATTGGTCACGCCTCTGTTCACTCCACTAGTGCTTCTCTGAATATGTATAAGAGGATAAGACTGGAAAATTTATTTGACCATAGGTTGTCAAATTAATCCTTTGTTCTGATCTTTTTCTTGCCTTTTTGCAGGGCCCAGTAAATCCTTTAGGGCCACCTGTTCCCCATGGGCCACATGGTGTCCCAGGCCCTCATGGACCTCCTGGACCTCCAGGACCTGGAACTCCAATGGGACCGTACAATCCTGCACCTTATAATCCAGGACCACCTGGTCCTGCTCCTCAGTAAGTATTGGGTTTGGTAGGGACTGTTTACCATCTCCTGCTCTCCTCCAAAGAATGGGAAAAGATTCTAGTTTTTAATATGTATTTTTGTGTTTTCTTGTTTCAGCGGTCCTCCTGCTCCATATGCTCCCCAGGGGTGGGGAAATGCTTACCCACATTGGCAACAACAAGCTCCTCCAGATCCAGGTAATGTTTTTCCCTTTGAAATATTTTTCCCCCCTTTAACTTGAGTAACATATATTAATCCGCTAAGAACCGTTCTTTTTTTGAGATGAAGGCTACACAGATACTGTGGATAAGAAAAGCTCTTTTAAAGAAATTACTTTTTAAAAAAAATTTCTAAACATTCTAGTAGGTTTTGTGAATTAGTTGCTTCATGAGATATGGATGTAAAGGAAAAGGGTTAGCCAAATTCATAAGAAACATGTTATAAACAAGATCCAGTTAAGAGAGAATTTGTTTTAGCTAGACTTGTGACAAAAGGATTTATGAGGCTGAGATGGTAAGGATAAGCCAAAAGACTCAGGTTCATGTGATATTGAAGGGTAATGTTACATTTTTAGAGCATATAGAACAATTTTAAGTAGGAATGTTTAGGGGAGTCACTGATCTCTTGTTCTAAGTTGTGTTTGTCATATTCTCATGCTACACAGAACTGTTGTGTTAAAGGCAAATCCATATAGAAACAAATGGCAGCACATAATGATAAAAACAAAACATTAAATTTAAAGCTAAAATACTTATACAAGTCTTCAGAAAAAGCTTTTAATCACATCCTGTTGCTCAGTAAGTATATAACCTAGGGAAGTCAACACTCTTGGCACCAGCAGCCAGGAAATTAAAAGACGTGTTGCAATGGGAAAGTCTGCTGTTAGGAACCTCTCCAGAGTACGGAAGAGAAATGGTGTCACTCGGGAGACTAAGGTGTGTCTGATACAGGCCGTGGTGTTTGCAATCACTTGTTACATGTCAGAGAGATGGACAGTGACTAGGGAAGATAGAAGGAGAATTGATGCCTTTGAGCTGTGGTGCTGGTGAAGAGCATTGAGTGTACCATGGACTGCTAAGAAAATAAACAGATTCATCCCGGAGAGGGTTAAACCAGGCTGCTCCTTGGAGGCAGGATTCTGAGGCTTCGTCTGACATACTTTGAACATGTTGTAAGGAGGGACTGGTCCTTGGAGAAGGGACATCATGCTTGGGAGGGTGGAGGGACAGCACAGGAGGAGAAGACCCTCTATGAGGTGGATTGATTCAGTGATGGGTAATTGGGATGGGTGTATTGGAGACAGTGCGTTTGGAACAGGATAGCCAGGATTTAGGACTGTTGTACATAGGGTCGCTGTGAGTCGCAAGTGACTCAATGGCACATAACAATAGTGAAAATAACAAAAGAATTGCAAAGTTTACCATTCGCTCTTTATTTTTTTATATACAGTTAATGTTTTGGTTCTTTGTAATTGCCAGAGAGCTGGGATTTTTTTGTTGGTGGGTGGTAGTGAGTTTGGGGGCTTATGAATTTTAAATGCAAACTTGAGATTTGTTTTTATTCTAGCTAAGGCAGGAACAGATCCGAATTCAGCAGCTTGGGCTGCTTACTATGCTCACTATTATCAGCAGCAAGCACAGCCACCACCTGCAGCTCCTGCAGGTGCACCAACTACAACTCAAACTAACGGGCAAGGTAAGTGTCCACAGAACTTTATGTGAAAACCAAACATTATGTTTGAGATTACATACGATGTGCATTACCTTCTGATACCTAAAATTTCTAATACTGTTCAGTGAAAAGTTTGTTACGTATTCTTGAGTCAGAAGCAACCTAAGCTGACCCTTTAGTGGGTTTTCAGAGGCTGTAAATCATGCAGGAGAAGATTGCCCATCTTCTGTGGAGTAGTTGGTGGATTTGAATCATGTGCTTTGAAGTTGACATCACAACTTCTTAACACGAGGACAGACATCAGAGCTCCCTAGCTGTAATGACTTTAGTAAGCAGAATTTCTATTGTAATGTAACTTTGTTCTCAAGTTTGTAAGAATAGTTTGAGAGTCAGATAACCCCTGGGTTCATGGGTCAATCCCATTTGCTCCTTTTGTCTTAACATGTCACACTCACTGTCATTAATCTTTTGCAAACCTATGTGTAAGGCTAAGCTGTAGACTTAACCTCGTTACTATTAAATACTCTTCTTGGTGCAGTTCTTAGAAAATTTAGTGCTGTTAGGCCAAAATCAACTTAGATCTCAATGTACAGTCTAACTATATTATCAGAGGCTGTAAAAAAACACCAAAGCAATACAGTTCTTCACATAGCTAATCAACATTGATACATCATTACTATTTTCAGTTCACCACCTCTATTAAAATTTCTCCAGTTGTCCCAACCTTTTTTTTCCTGTATTCAAAACCAAGATCCCATCTGAGAACAGATTGTTTTAGGTTTGTCAGCCTTGCCAATCTGGAAAGTTCATCACTTTTTCCTTTTATGTGTTCACTTAGAAGCCTTTACTTTTTTTCCTTTTGACTAAGATGCATCTTGCTTATGTGGCAAAATACTGATTCCATGCTTTTTATCACACCAGAGGTTATATGATGTTAACTCTCTTCTACCCTGTAGATGGTATACTCTAGATTACATGTCACATTGGTATCCACTCAGGTTTCTGTACCATAAAGTTGTTTGGAGGTTCCCCCCCCTCTGAAGTCCAAAAGTGTTTTCTAGGGGATCTCATCATAACAAGATTAAGCCACTTTCCTGTCCGCCTTAGCCTATGTTGGTAATTTTTGTTTGATTCAGTTGCAATATACATATTTTTATACATATTTTACTTTATGGGAAAACTTTCCATTTCTCTCCATGATAAAATCTTGACATTTGTGCTGGCAATTTATATATATATATATATATATACCCACCATAACTAGTCTCGTAGTAGTTTGTCTGCTTCTCTGTCTTCTAATTCTTTTAACACCAGCAAGGATCACTGTCCCGTGGTATACCACTCCCAGATCTTTTATTCCACGAACAGAAGGAAACAGTAAAAATGGTCTTTAAAAACTTTCATTTTCTTTCTTGTTTTTTCCCTTGAACAAGGAGATCAGCAAAATCCAGCCCCAGCTGGACAGGTTGATTATACTAAAGCTTGGGAAGAATACTACAAGAAGATGGGTATGTTCTACTTTTTTGTGGTTTTTTGTTGGTTGTTTTTGGGGTTGTTTTTTTAACAGCTAATTAAATGGAAGCATTTCCTAAATGCTGGAAGGTTGAAAGTTTGTTTTTAAAAAAGCTTGTTTGGACTCTCTTACTGTTACCATTTAAGTTTCAAAATCTTAAAATAGAAAACAGTTGAGCAAGAACGCATACTCAAGTCATTGAAGCTTCAGTTTTACCAAAGCCTTACAAATAGTTTATGCTAATCAAAAGAATTAAACTTAAAAAAACAAAACTAAACTTGTGGCTACATAACAAAGAAATATTTTTTATTTCTAAATTGTATTTGTCAGACAGTTGTTAATTAAGCCTAATTTGAGTATTACCTACACGTTCATTAAAGACAGCTTAATAAACCAAATTCTAGAGTACCAATAAGAAATGTAATATGTGATGCCATTGTATTTACTGCAAAATGAGCAGGTAAGAAATTACCTAAAAGTGACAAATGACTAAAACTGTTTTGTTTCTTCCAAAACGACAGTATATTCTACATGCCAAACATAGTGCCTAGAATACAGTTAGTTGTAGACATCTTACCGAGGCATCCTGTCTTATTGGTTATTACGTTTTAATGGAAGGTGTAGTTATTTAATATGTAAATATAGCAAACAAATGCACTCTGAAGGAGAACAACTACCTTCACTTAAATTTGACTTATGGAGATTAGAAAGCAAAAATTATACAGCTATAAAGTGGTAGAATCAGAATTTAAATTCTAAAAGGGCTTGAATCCCAGTCCTGATTTCCAGTTTACCTTTACTGGGGACTGTTTGCAACTTCGTGTATTTATTTACAAATACTTCTTTTTCAGATGTTTATATTCTTAGGGAAATTATTTTGTGCCTGTAGCATTGGCTTCAACTTTTTTTTACACTGTAGCCATTTGTCACATTGAAGATTAAGCAGCCAAATTTACCCATTTTCTATTCTGGAAAGTATATATTGATGATAGTATTTAGTCTTAAGATACAATCTAGTTGTTGATCTCAATGTAAATCTCAGTATGGTTTCATTTTTAAAAATGTTTATTTTCCACAGAAAAGTTTCAGAGATATGATTTCATTCCGCTTTTTTTGTGAGTGTGTAAGTGCGTATACCTAATGGTACAGTGTTATACACAGCTGATTTCTGCCTAAAATACTTTTTCTTAATGGATTGACTTTCCAAGAAAGTCATGCCGAGTATTATTCATGAGACTGTAACATCCATAAAAATTAGAATCTTTTTAGGTTTTTTAATTTATAATTTTTCTTTTCATTTTTAAAGAAGAGTTTTTAACCTCAAAGCAGTACCCTTTAATTAGAGTGATGGCATAATTTATCATTCATACGAGCACACTTGGGAATGGATGAAAATGCTTTTTGTAATGGTGGCAAGACAACTTAATGATCAAGACTTCTGGTCTTCATTTTATCTTCATTTTAATGAAACAATATCAGTGGTCTAAAGAGTTAATAATATTAAAAGTCATTAACTCCCAACTTGTTTTTTCACCATATGTGATATTAATTAGGTAATTACTAGGGGATGGTTTTGTTGCTTTTATCCTCTCTGTGCCCTATATCCATTAATAAATTTTTCTATTTAGCCTTGTCCGAAAGTACATTTTTTCCCCCTAAAAGGATTTGATAGGTTGTGAATAGTATAGTTGGATTATTCCTTCTACTGTTTAACATTTTAAATTTTTTTAAAAATCACGTAAAGGAGCAAAGACAATATGGGAAAGGCCTAGTCTGACTTCTGCTAACTCCAGAAAGGGAACTCTCCCCATCAACTACATTCATAGTAACTAATAACTACAGGGTCAAACATTGTCTCTCACGCTTCTACCCCCATTTTCAACAATTCCAGAACCAGTCTTCCTAGTAACTGGGTCTGAAATTCAACAGAACCATACTTCCTATTGTGGGGTTTGTTTTTGTTAAGGGAAGTCAACAGGCTATAATTCAAAATTGTACTGTATACTGTCTGTAACCACAGCAGGCTATATGGGTTGGCATAGCCAGAGTATACAGTCCCGGTCATCAGCAAGTTTGGGTGAAGGCCTCTAGCTCTGGTTCAGAGGAGCAGCAGTCTCAGGTCAGATGCATTCAAATAAACTAGTAGCAGTCCCGGATCAGGCCAGTATCACTGTGGTTGTCAGTCCAGACAATTGGTTTTCAGGTTCAGTGAACATCTTCATCATCAATATATCACATCTTATTCTGACCTTAGTCCACAGTAATCAGTCCAGATGATTTCTGATCCTCCAGCAAGCTTGGGCTAAGTCTGCAGGTCTCGCTGTCACTCATATGTTGGTCTTTTTGAAGCTTTGTTGCTCTTTTTTTTTTCCTTTTTTTTTTTTTATTTTGTTATTTTTGTGTGCGTGTACCGTCAAATCAGATCTGACTGGTACAGGAGGAGATTGCCCCTCCTTACCCGGCAGAGCATCTGGTGGATTCAAACCGTGCACCTCTGGGATTGTAGTTGCAGCTTCTTGCCACTAGGCCACCAGAGCTCCCCTAGCTTTGATGCTCTTAAGTTACTCACACTGCCCTTGGTTATGTAGGTGAACCTCATCAGGCAGAGTTGAGACAACTGAATCAGGACAACGCGCTTATAGGGAAGACAGAGTGAGGCAGCTAGCTAAACAGTGTCTAGAAAAGCCATCGCAACTGACCCATTAAATGGCAGAGAGGTTACTTATTCTAATTTCTTGTATGTACTCATATCTTTATAAGATGGCAAGACTGTAAGGGAAAAAATTCTAGAATACCAGGGCAAAGTTATTCTCATTTCAAAACCCACCTCTGCTATTTAAAAAAGCTTGTGGTTTGTATTAAAAAGTTTCCTGATTTTCAGTTCATGTCCCTTTTACCAAACTCTGTAGGCTGCCAGAACTTTTGAAACCTAATTTAACCATCTGATATTAAAAATAGAATAATCCAACACTAATAGGTTCTAAAGAGAAATTCTTACCTTTTTCTTTGCACTCTAAAGACAGGTTGTAGCCATAAGAATTCTTTCACAGGGGGGGGAAGTTATTTGAGATGGATCCATATAGCAGCTTTGGGAAAAGTTTAATTTGAAGAAGACCCTTAGAGCTTTGTACTAATACTTTGTACAATATTAGTCTTGATAGATGGATTTTTGTTCTGAGTTTTGGGAAAGATGCTTTTAAAGCGATAATTAAGCATTAAAATCAACTGAAGGAAAGCTGACTCTTGGACTGTAATAAAATATGACATGAACTCTTAAGACAAGTCATCTTTGTCTTAAATGTAGGTAAAATTTTATATAACCATATGTGTAGCATCAGGTTTGGGGGGTAGACTATAAACAGTCTGCAGAATGAAGAGATACAACTTTACCTGCTGAAAGTTGGGAGAACTTGAAGTGTTTGCTTCAGAAGGTCAAAGGCTACAGTCTTTAGTACAGATAGTACCTTAACATCATGAAAGCAAAAACCCTCACCACTGGGGAAAATAGGCATCAAGATGTCTTGTGCACTTGGTGGAAAATCTGATGTCAGGGACCTCTCCAAGGTCTTAAGGAGCAGCTTTATCAGTTTAAAGTCCAAAGTGCACCTAATTGAAGACCTTGTCTTTGCATTTACTCTGTATGCATCTGAAAGTTTGTCAAGATTAAATGTCAAGAGAACAATTGATGCCTTTCAGTGTTGATGAGTTGTTGTGTTTGAGAAGAATATTGAATATCCTAGGGACTGCCAAAAAAACATTAGTCTTGGAGCATGATATGTATGTAGCCAAGGCTGCTCCTTAGAGGCAAGATTCTTTGTTTTTAGGGTGGACCAGTTCTTGGGGGGGAAAAACCATCATGCTTGGAAACGAAGCATCAGAAGTTGAGGAAGACTTACCAGTGAGATTAATTGACACAGTGTCTTTAATAATGTACTTAAGTATTATCAGAGATGATGAGGATGGCACAAGATATAGGGTACACTTTAGGTCCTTTTTTCAAAGAATCACAGCGCCTAACAACCACATAAATATTAGGGATGCTTAGTGGTAAGGAGTTGTACTACAAGCCCAAAAGCATCTGTTCCTGTGCAGAAGATAAATGGACAATCTATTCCATTTACAGCCTCTGAAAACCCGGTGGAGGGTTATCTGTGCATTTGCTGCAATTATATAGCATGTAACAGCAAAAGATAGAGAATACCTGTATTGCCTGACATCAAAACCTTTAACCCAGGTAAAGAGGAGTGGTTTAAAGTCATACTTAAGAGTCTAGCCTCCGGAAGGCCAGAAAACAGCTAAGTCTATAATAGATAGCAGTGATGATAACAACTTTCAGCTGGACAGAATGGATGTTGACAATTTATTTTCCAAGTGTTTAGAAATCCCCAGTGAGCCACCTTTACACAGCAATATCTGAGTTTCAGGCAGTTTTATTTTCTTGTTAGGAAGCTCATGTGTCTCCCTACTCCTACCCTATTGATAAATACCGTTATTTTACCTCTCTGTGCAATGAAGTTCATTTTTCTAAATCTGAAGAATTACTACAATTTGGAACTTTTGACCTCGAATCAGTAGGTTTTCAGTTGTATGATTTTATATGAGACATTGTATTGTTAGTATTTAGCAGTTTTTCCTAAATACGTAAACCCATTTTATTTGGATTTGCTTAAATTTTATTTCTCCATAAGATTAAATTGATAACTCACTTCCTTTTTGAAAAGTTATAGAAAACAAAATGGCCCTTTTTAAATAATATATGAGTATTTAAGGTTTTTCTGTACTGTTGCTTTGAGTAAGAAGTATTTGGTTAATAAATTTTTAAGTATTAATTATAGATCTTAAAAGTTTTATTTATTTACACATGCTCTTGTTCTTCTAACTTGTACTCAACTACTTAACAGAGCTACTTGTCATCGTTGACAAATACACACCATGGATGTTTGCTCATACTTTTTTATTTTATTCTCTAGTACTTTTTTTTTTCTTACTGAATTAATGTATAGGGAGTTGTGCTAACTCCAGGGCTGTGACTAATGGTTCAAGTCTGTCAGCTGCTTTTTGGGAGAAAAAGGGTCAGTCTTATTCCATTCAATTTACAGCCTTGGAAACCCAACGGTCAAATCAGCTATGAGTCTGCCTACCTCAGCGGCAACAAGTTGGCGAGAGAATTAATTGCACTTTTTAAAACTTGGAAAAAAATAATACAGTAAACATCCATAGTTTATACCTTCTATCCAGTTATACCATAGTATGATCCATATAAAATCCATATTTAAATTTTATTGCTTGCCAGAGTAGTAGTTCTAGATATGGCTGTTTGTATTTTTTTTTGTAATCTTCAGAATCCATGTAAGGTTCATAGCTTGCATGTGTTTGTTATGTCTGGAGATTATTTCAGAAAAATCTTGCCTAGAAGTAAGAGTTGCTTCACTTTTAAATGTATTGAAAGGCTCTTTGATGTTTGAATGCTCTGAGTTTATCCTTTCTTAATGACTGCAGGAGAATCATCTGTAGGTTTATTTACTACTTCACACACTTCCTAATTGGATTTAAACAGAATAACTATGTATAATTGCATAATTTGAATCATGATAATGACTACGTCTTGTTTTTCCTGGTTAAAAAACTATATGTGAATTTGTTTCTCCCCCCTCTTTTTAAACAAATTTTCAGGAAAAAGTTACAGTTACTAATAGGTAAAGAATTAAAGAACATTATGAGGTTTTATTAATATTTAAAATAAAACAGGAACATTCTGATCCTCTGTACTTTTGTCTTTGTAACCTGTACTTATAGTGGATATAATTTTGTATTAAAATTTAGGGGGTTTTTTTTAGGTCAACAAGGGCAGACACAAGATTATTCAAAAGCTTGGGAGGAATATTACAAGAAGCAAGGTATTGTTTTTATTAGAAATGAGATTCTGTTGGGCTATTAATTGCAGTTACAGCAACACAGTTATTCTGTTTTCTCAAAGGTCAAGCAGTTCCTGCTCCTACTGGGGCCCCACCAGGTGGTCAGCCAGATTATAGTACGGCCTGGGCTGAGTACTATAGACAACAAGCAGCTTACTATGCTCAGACAAGTCCACAGGGAATGCCACAGCATCCTCCAGCACCTCAGGTATAATAGATTCACTAATTTATTTTGTTTTCTGCATGTCCTCTGTCTGTCTGTCTGTTTGGGATATAGTTGCTTTTTTATTTTTTACAATACAGTGTATGACTTTCCTGTGGTGTATTGTTGGGGATTTTTGTTTATATTTTGGTGCTTTCTGGCATCTGAGTGCTGAGTATTTCTACAATGCCTTTGGTTTTAAAAATAAATTTTCTTCCCCCAGGGATTTGAAAATCTTGCAAGAAGCCTCCACCACTTACATTAACCAGTTTTTCTTTCTTAAAGGATTCACTCCTGAGTTAACTCCATTTAAAGGATTTTCTTTAACTTTTTGTGTATTTCTTATGTATCTCTTCTGCACAGGGCCAATAATAAGAAGTGGACAATACAGTATTTGCTTCATTGTGTGGGGGAAAAAAACCTTTGTTAAATATATGGATGCAGACGACTTGATGAAGATCTTAATTTTGGTTTTGGTTTAAAAATAGTGTTTTCTTTCTTTTTTTTTTGAAAATGTACAAAATTAACTATCACTACTGATAGGAGGTTAATATTTCTGTGTAGAAATGAAAATTGGTTTGTTTTTTAGTATTTAGTGTAGATGTACACATTCCAGCAAATGGATTTACAACTATTATGTGGTCAATGCTTTGTGATATAAATGTACTTTTTCAATGTATACTTTCACTTTTAAAATGCCTGTTTTGTGCTTTACAATAAATGATATGAAACCTCCTGTGTCGGTAAGTTGGATATGTGGGTAATTAAAAGATTCATAATTTCTTAGCAATGATAAATTAAGATACATATACACAAATATATAAGCTTTCCCCATGAAATAGTAATTGAGTATTTTAAACACTGGCATGTTTTCTCCTCTTGCAGTATAGTAGTAGATTGGAAGATGTTTTCCATATTGTAGTTAACTATTGCAGCACAAATAATCCTGGTATCTTCATTTATTATTTTTTTCCTTCTGTTTGGTTAAAAACTGCATGTGTGTACAATGTCTTGGCATACTTCCATTGCATTAACAGTGAAATTTCCTTTTATACATGACCACTATTTCAGACATGTACTGCTGCTATAACATTTTAACCTTTCTGTTCTTAATAATTACTTGATTTCCAATACCGTTTGAGCATAACTTTTAAACAGTTTTTTCAATAAGTGAGTATGAGTAGTCTAAGAACAGGGGGACTTTTGTTTGTCTGTTTGATTGGTTTTTTCCTTTTTTCCCCCCTCCTTGGATGTAAAGCAGTTCTCAATGTGTACAATATTAGTATGTTTGTTTCTGAATTTAGGGTAGAAAAGTGAACAATATGCGAAAACTATAGCTATGTTGCATCTACCATTGAAACAAAATTGGGATATACAAAAGTTTCAGAATTTCTTTTTTTTTTTTTAAATAACTCATTTTGCAGAATAGTTTTGTAAATGCACAAGTCCAGTCATTGAATCAGCTTAATTTTTTATGTACTTGAAATCATTTTATTACTCTTTAACACTCATGTTGAAGTTCTGATATTTTGTTGAAATCCATTGTTTTACTCTTTGCATATTTGTTGGCTTTTTGCATATTAATATATTAGACTACATGCAAATACAGTCTGTCTTGCCATTGTCTGTTGAAGTGCAGGTTTGATCCAGCCAGTATAGAACTAGCTCTGTAGGGGTGAGGAGGACTGTGCTGTGTATCATCCTTGATTGTGTTCCTTCAAGGAGCATTGCACTGTAAGTACATCAGAATGACAAATTGATGAACTGCAACAGTATCTTTTTGTCAATGTTCCACATAATGTAAATGCCATATTTTATGTGAATATTATGTTGGAATACAGTGCTGATACCTTGGAAAACCATAACTGTTTAATTTAACATAGAATTAAACATAGGTCTGTATTTTGTTTTTAAGTGAGCTTAATGGGTAAGTATTTTTTGATATGCTGTAGTTATAGCTTTAAAAAAACACCACCTGATCATTAACAAAGTTAATAGTATTGCTGGTGCTCCTAAAGTATTTATCAGTGTAAAGTATGCATATCTTTTATGTTATCATGAAAGGTTTGAAATGTATGAAGACAATGGTTTGCAGATAATTAGCATTGTAGTAATTTCAACACCATCTTATAAATATATTTCAGTTCTTTATTTGGAAGGGAGCACCATTTGTTTATTTATACTTTAAAGGAAGATGTATTAGGACATAAATATTCACATAACCTGCAGGGTAGAAAATAGAAGTATAGTTCATTGTGGATATTTAGAAATGTTTTTGATTGTTTTTATAGTACTTGGAGTGAGTTCCCTTTTACCCCTTTTGAGATCCAGATGTGTAGTTCTAGTTTCAAGTTAATAAAGAAGTTAGTTACCTGTTTTCTTTAGAGTAGGGTTTTGACTTGAACATTTTCGGTATTTTGCATGATACTGTTGTATAGATGACCTTTTAGGGAAGTTGTGCATTTGTTAATTAAATTGAAGAAGTAGTTCAGTTGCAGTCAATATCATAATTCACAAAATGGAGGCTGTTGATTTTGATTCATTTAAGGTTTAAAAATCTTTATTAATTGCAAACAGTGCAATTATTTATACTTCACAGTGCCTTCCCAGACCTTCCACCTTAGGTTCTGCTGCAAAAAGCAACAGGTAAGCACAACCTAAGGACATATATAAATAATAATTATTTCAGTACATTAATGTTGTCCCTGTGAGATTTTTGTGGTTGTGTATTCAAAAGCAATCTGCTACTGCTTCCCCAACATGTATTTTGTTATTTATGCTACCATTTCTGTGGAAAGTCTGTAAGTTGTTCAAGCAACTGTTTACATTACTGGGTAATGGTTTTTAGTTTCATTTTTAAATGGAAATAGTAGGTTGCTGCTATCATTGAAGTACATCCAAATCTTTTTGTAATCTTTTCCCAAGTGTAGAAGGGTTGCTATGATTGAGAGGATAATTAGTTTTCAGAATTTAGGAAATCCCTTGGTCAGAGATGTCAACAGCCTTCACAGTCTGTTTATATGATTAACAGGACATTTTCTTTGCCCTCCAACGCTATGGATTATTTCTTTTTTTCTTGTTCTTAAATTGCAGTAATTCAGTAAGGATATTGTCGGTCAGAGTTTTATTATGATCTTTTTTAAGACAATTCCATTTTTATAACTTAATATATGCTGAAAAAGGAAAAAATACTACTGGCAGTATGTTCTGATAAAAGGCATGTGCATCAATGAAATGTTAGCTGAATAGCACTTAACCTTTCATAATCTGTGTAGCATCCATATTTTTTTATTTATAATACTTTAATAACTGATGCTGCATTTATTTCATTTTTTGCCAGTTTAAAATGTTGTGTGTTATTGCAGAGAATCTTAACTGGTATTCTTAAGATGAATGTATTAAAGCAGCATCTTATCAGTTGTGTTTATTCAGTTTCTAAAATGTGCTGATCCTTTTAATAAATTCCTGCTTATCTCTCCAACAAAGAAAAATATTCAAAAATACTGCCTTCATTTTCACACACAGTGCTGAAGATGCTGCAAGCACCAAATCATAGCTCATAAAATCAGGTCCTGAGATAGTTACCCATAAAGAGGAATCCTTTGAGTGTATGCCATTGGTGAGCCGATGAGCATGGACCATAGAAGGGCTCAATGTAGAAGGTAAAATTGGCAAATATAATTGAGAAATATGAAATGTATTCCCATACATAATATGGTGTAGGGTGTATTGTAACTGCTTTTGGTCATTTTCATTTTAAAGTACTAGTCACTTGATAGTAAATGTTCCATGAACTGTTGCTTTTTTATGTACCTACTGCATCACATTTATATGTGTGCATATATGTTTCTTAGTCAATGATAGGTATGTTAGAATTGCTAATATATAGGGTCTCTTTGAACCTTAAGAGCCTGTCAAGTTTTGAGTAGTTGTAGATAACATTTTTTAAACAACTATAGATGAATGCTTAATAGATATTGGGGCATTGTTTCTGTCTCATGAGAATTTTTTTTTCCTTAATTATCGTAAGCCTTCACTAATACTACAGCATTTTTTTTTAAATGGTGCCAATCTTAACCTTGAAATAAGTGGAAAGCAGAAAAGGTGAGCCAGTTGATTTGAATACAGTGAATGTGAGGAATAATAGAAACAATGTTTAGTTTCAATTGAAATTAACTGATCTATTTAGCACTTTGACATTATTTTAAAAATCTTAGTGTGATACTTGAAATTTTTATGGTTTGATGTTTCTTTTAGAATTGAGAATTATGTTTTTATTTTTTTAATTATTGAAAATTATTTTTAATACTAAAACTAATTTGATGCTAGTAGCTTATATATCCTTAAATATCTCAGCAGTTAATTCATAAGGACGGATTTGGGTAGGAATAATAAAGTATGTTCAAAGGGAGATAGGAATATACTCAGAAGTGATAACATTTTTGTTTGGATAGTGAAAGGAAGACCAGTACTACTTAGAAAGTTGCTTGTCATCTAGAATAATGATGTAGAAATTACAATTCAGTAAGGATGTCTTATTTTTGTTTTCTGCAAATACTGCCACAATTTAAATGCATCTTAGCGATACCTAGTTAAAGACAATTTTTATTATGATAATAACCGTATTTTTTGTTTAGTGTGTCACTTTTCTTACCACAAAATAAAAACTTTAAGGGATTTTTAAATTGTTGCTTTTAAAAAGCAAATCCCAGTTTCTTCTTTGATATCCCATAGAAGCTCTTAAATGTATTTGCGCACATCTATATATATATTTTTTCTTATGCATGCTTGATGCATTTTCGTCCTGAGAAAAGCATTCTCTACAGAAACTACCCGTGTGTAAACAGAAGATTGGCTAAAAATGGCTACTGTGATGGGAACAGTATCTTAGGGAGATGCAGCTTGGACTTGAGGTAAATTGATACTTTACAAACTGTGGTTTAGAACTTGCTATAATGGTACTGTGTGTGAAAGGGCACATAATTGTTGTAATTTTGTATTGATTATGGTTTCTTCAATAAAAAAATAAATGTACATTAATAAATATTACAAGGGAGTGTTATTTTTTTCTTTCCTACGTATGATTGATCAAATTTTTTTCATCTGAGGTATTCTGTGAGAAAATGTTTTAATTCTGATTTCTCAAGCCTTTTAATTTAAATAGAGATTTATTAGGGGTTTACAATGTAAAACAAGACTGTTTTCAAGAAAATTAAAATATAAACCAGTTTCTTGATAGTCAATTATTTACAAAGTCATTAAGGATGAGGATTTAAGGTGGAATACTGTTTTTCTAAATCATACCCACTTAGGAAACTTTCCTTTTGTTTTCTCATTAAAATATAATTTTTACAGTTAAAACATAAATTTGATTTTACATTTAAAAAATACATAATAGTTTAAACATTCAGAATTTAGGTAGTTTCTATCACATTTTCCTTGGCAATTTTTTCTTTAAAAATCAGGCTTTCCATTTTTGTTTCCCCATGCCTCTTTTGCTCTTAAAAGGATTAACTCCCCACCCCAAAATATATCTACTTCAGAAAGATTTTACAGCTACAACAAAATGATAAGCCCACTCAAATTTATTCCAAATTGATTAAAAGAATAGCTGTTTTATATTAATTTTAAGTTAGCCCATTTAGATCATTGTTTTCATGCAGAACACCGTTTTCCACTTATAAGTTGTTTTGTTGTTGTTTTAAACTGATGGGCGCTACAAAGCCTTTTTTAATAGGGTCTAGTTGCATAGGGTCTGCAGTTAGGAGCCTCTCCACTTTGTTGAGGAGTAATGATGTCAGTTTGAGACTAAGGTGCATCTGATTGAGGCCATAGTCTTTCCAGTCACTTGCAGTGAATCCGAGAGCTGGACAGTGAATAAGGATGACAGAAAAAAAATTGATGCCTTTGAGCTGTGGTGTTGGAGAAGAGCACTGAACATGCCATGGATGGCCAAAAGAACAGATATGTCTTGGAGAGTGTGCAGCCACAGTGCTCTTTGGAGGCAAGAATGATGAGGCTTTGTTTCACATACTTTGGACATGTTGCTAGGAGGAGCTGTTTCTTGGAGAGGGACATGATGCTAGGTAGGGTGGAGAGTTGGTAAAGGAGAGAAAGACTGACCCCCAACCAGGGAGATTGACACGGTGACTACTGCAGTGGGATGTTGTGTGTCGGGAAGAGTGAGGATGATTCGGGATAGAACGAGGTTCAGACCTTTTGTTCATAGGGTCTCTATGATTCATACTTGAGGGCACCTAACAACAGTGGAATAAATAAATCCATTTCCTACCCATTCATTACATATACATTTTTACACTGTTGCTGCATAAAATGGCAGTTAAACTGATTATTTGGAAAGGAAGGTAGGTAATAATCTTCAAAGGAGCTTGGTTTTGAGGAACTGTTGGGAAAAGAAATAAGAAGTCTGCACAGTGGCACTTCTTCTTTGCTTTTTTTTTTTTGGCCCCGCCACAGAAAGATGGATGTAGTGAGAAAGTTTGACAGCGAGAGTTCCAGACCAGAGAGAGGGAAGGACTAGTAGTCATCAGCTAAAAAAGAGAAAAAGAAAAGTGACACTTTAAAAAAAAAAAAAAGAAATCTCTTTTTAAATAGAAAAGTTAGAAGAATGGTTAATTCTTACTTTCAATGGTAAGAATACATGTACTAGCTGCAGAGCCTTTGTTGTTGACTGCTTTGCACATATACTCTCCTTCATCTTCTGGAAAAGTTTCTGGTAAATAAAGGCAGTAAGTTTCTCCTCTTTCAATGTATTGATAATCTTCTCCATCCTGGAGTATTTCACCTTCAAACCACCATGTGACTTCTGGTTTAGGTTCTCCAGTTACTTTAACAGTAAATCTGACTGGTTCACCATCTACAACGGATGTATTTTTAAGAGACTTCTTGAACCATGGAGCTCCTGATCTGCTTTGTTCTTCATCTTCAGTAGTAGAGCCATTCATGATACTACCTTCCTCTTCCTCCTCTTCTTCTCTTTTCTGTATTGAAATAAGTATATTAAGGTTCAAACTTAAGGCACATAATTCCCCCCAATAATTGCACAAAATCAAATCAGTGGTTAAGTCTTAGAATTCTGAAGATTAAAAAATGTGCTTATTATAATTTTACATCTATGATTAAAAGATTAAAATCTTTTTCCCCTCATAAAACAAGGGTTTTTAACAGAACATCTGGACTATAAAGGATATATAAATCCAGTACCTTTTGTAGTGCTGCATCAATTTCCTTCTGTTCAAACTGCATTCGAAGTAACTTTTGTTCTTCAATTCGTCTTTGTTCTTCTTCTTCTCTTGCCTTAGCCATTTGTTCAAATCTAGCTTTCATATTTACTTTATGAGTAAATGGAGCCTCACTTTTTATTGGAGGCTTTACATCAACATCTTCTTCCTTCAAAAAGTTAACAAGAAAAGCAGTTGCTTATTTTCTAAAAACTAGCCAAAACAGATCTGAACATGGCTTTTAACAGTTTGCAAAATATATTTGGTATGCTCTTCATGAAAAACTACAAATGAAGGAGGTGGTGACAAAGTTGACTTAGGGAAAATTGTCTAAACAGTCAATTTTTTCCAGTATACAGATACACAGTAGGAATAGTGGCCTAGTCTTTTAGTCTTTATTTGTCTAACTAATGTACTTGTTGATAGTTGAATAACAAAAAAAATGTTAGTCATTGTAACTGTTGTTAAAATATTTTCCACACTTTTACATAATGGGCTATAAATGTAAAAAGCTTGTTGTGCAGTTTTTCTTATGGTAGTGCTTCCCCCCACCCCACCCCCGGTCATTCATGGTTAAAAGGGCCACCTGCAGCAGGCTGGGATCCCAGTTACGCGTGAACTCAAGCTCTTGCTCTGCAGCTTTACCTCCAGTCCCACGGGGCAGGCGCTCTGGGGACCAGCTTTTCTTAATAAAACTGTTCTTGAGGTTAATTCCATTCCATAAATAATGTTTTGATGACAAAGGATTTTTACAAGTAGAAAAACGACAGAACAGAGAAACTGTTACGTCATTGCTTAAACATGAGGAAATCCCTGAAATTATTGAATGAGTGTGTTCTGGTGGCATAGTCTGTAGGGAATAATAAAGTTGTTTCTAACTTGACAGCAGTAGATGTGAACATTAGAGTCCATAGAAAGTAATTTTAACAAGAGTTCCAATGTCAAAGCTTGATTATGTGTGGATGCTCTTTACTTGAAAAATGTACAGAGTATAAACCTTTAAAGACATAATCATCATCGACAATTTTAAAGGAGAAAACAATTAAGTACTCAGATTCGGAGTTGGCTGTAGGGATTCAGATGGGAAGGTGCTCTGGCAGTAAGACCTTGTAAGTAAAAAACAGCCTTCATAGGAAACTATATTTCTTACATAGATAGGCAGATAACAAAACAGGAAGCAAAGGGCAGTTTTCTGCTCAGGTAAAATTTTTAACCTTGATGTGGATTGCTTCCTCTAACAAATTTTATTTCAAACTCCATGTCTTAAGTAATTTTTCACACTGCCCTCATACATAACTCATTAAACTGTTCGTTTTAGGGTAAGTACTACAGTTGATAATGCTAATGTGAAACCTATACTTGGACCAAGAGGCAGTTGTCAGAACAGAGCAAGTTTTGCTGCATGGTTCAAGACAGGATGCCAGGGATGTGTCCTGTCTCCATACCTTTTCAACCTGTATGCAGGGAGGCTGGGCTCTATGAGAAGTCTGGATTGGTGGAAGATTAATCAACAGTCTGCATTATGCAGATAACACAACCCTGCTTGCTGAAACTGAGGAGGACCTGAAGTGCTTGCTGCAGAGGGTCAAGGACTGCAGCCTCCAGTATGGATTGAGGCTCAATGTCAAGAAGACAGAGATTCTCACCACTGGACCAATTGGCAGCATCAGGATGGGTGGTGAAAGATTGAGATTTAGTTTGCTTGGTTCCACAGTCAACACTCTGGCACCAGCAGACAGGAAATTAAAAGATGTATTGCAATAGGAAAGTCCACTGTTAGGGATCTCTCCAAAGTACTGAAGAGCAATGGTGTCTCTCTGGAGACTAAGGTATATCTGATACAGGTCATGGTCTTTGCTATCACTTGTTACACGTCAGAGAGTTGGAGAGTGCCAAGGAGGATACAAGGAGAATTGGTGCCTTTGAGCTGTGGTGCTGGAGAAGAGTATTGAGGGTACCATGGACTGCTAGGAAAACAGATTAATCCTGTAAAGGGTTAAACTGGGCGGCTCCCTGGAGGCAAGGATTCTGAGGCTTCCACTAACATACTTTGGACATTTTGTAAGGAGGGACATTATGCTTGGTAGGGTGAAGGGACAGCACAGGAGGGGAAGGCCCTCTATGAGGTGGATTGATTCAGTGACTGGGGTAATCTGGATGGGAGTGTCAGAGATAGTACACAGTACAGTGTGATTAGCACAGGACAGAGCAGAGTTTAAGGCAGTTGTACATACGAGTCGCAAGCGACTAGACGGCACGTGACAACAACTATTATATTCACTTAAACTCCTAAAACGGGATATTAAAAACCTATAATGATGATTTATCAATAACCAAAAGGTTTATCTGTATCTATATGGTTAACTATGACAATCACTAGGCCTAATTCTCTGAGGTACTAATGATGCTAGAAATTCAAAATAACACAGGTTTTGTGGGGAAGTTTTGTCCTCAACATCTATGGGCCTAATGTTCTTTGGAGATCATGTATCTTAATGATATTCCCCAAATATGAGAACTTCTCAAATCCACAGGATTCATTCCAATCCCTGTTCTGCTGGTCTTTTACCCAGGAAGCATATGGTGGATTTCAACCATCAGCCTTTCATATAGCCCAGTGTGTTAATGCACATTGTCACCAGGACTTCCATTTATAATGCACAATACTGAGGATAATAGTCTAGCCAAGTTAAATCTTTAAGGGAGAGGGTGCAAGTTTCATCTGCAACATTGCACAGTTAATACTGAAATTGAAATTGATATGGGAGGAAATTGGACATCTTTCTCCCAAGGGGAAACTGGATTCAAACCATGGGCCTCTGGGTTGGCAGTGCAGCTCCTTACCAATAGGCAACTGCAGCTCCCTCTAAGAAGCATCTTGTGTGTTCAGACCACCTGCTTTTGGTTTATTGGTTTAGCAACACAACTCCTTAACCACAAAACTACTAGACCTTTCTTAAGCCCCCTGTAAAAGACAGTTGAGAGTAATAAGGCAGCCATCGGACATCATTTAACTCCACAATGGGAAATAGTCCTTACCCATAACAAGTCTTGATTTCTCTGAGGTCATATCTACCTCTTCACCTCAACTTCTAACAATTTTAACAACAGTCATCCTTCCCAGGGCTGTTGGTCCACTGGTTCTTGGTTTACTCTGCCTTCAAGTTGGAACTGACTCAGTGACCCTCTCAGATTTTTGGAGGCTGTGAATCACAGGAGTAGATATCCCATCTTTCTCCCATGGAGCTGGTAAAATCAAACCTGCTACTTTGGTTAGCACAAATACAGAAGTTTGTTTTCACATGTCTATTAAAATGTCTACATAGAATTCAGACCATCAGGTCAGAACCAATACATTGTGGGTTTTCAGAGACAGTTACACAGGAAGAGGTTCCCCACCTTTCCCTCCAGAGCAACTGAATTTGAACTGTGTCCTTTTGGGTTGGCAATGCAGCTCTTTACTGGTAGGCCACCAGAATCTCTATTCCAGGATTTATTAAGGAAGTTTGAAGACTAAGCCACACTTGATTCAAGTCATGGTCTTTTTTTCCTTTAATCACTTGTTACGCATCTGAGAGCTGGACAGTGAAAAAAGATGACAAAATAATTGATGCAAAGAGTACTTATCCCATGGACTGCCAAAGTCACAAAAAGGTTTGTCTTTGAAAGGGTGTAGCCAGAGTGCTGCTTGGAGGTGAGAGTGGCAAAGCTTTGTCTCATACTATGGACATGTGGCTAGAAGAAGCTATTCCTGGAAAATGATGTCATGCTAGGAAAGGTGGAGGGTCAGCAAAAGAGGAAGGAACCCTTCCCCATGAGATGGACTGACACAGTGACTGCAGCAAGAGGCCCAAGTGTGTAAAGAGATGGTGAGGGTGGCACAGGATAGAGACATGTTTATAGGGTCACTGTGAGTCATGCTTGACTCAGGCACCTAATAGCAAATAATAATTCCGGTTGGAAGCAATACAATTCTTTGGTCAGAACTGTTAAGGTGTACTCATAGATCCTCTGGCTGATCTTAGCTTTGCTTGCATGATCTCATTGCTGTGGAGCTTGAACCAAGCCATTTTGACCCACCATTGAGTTAACCAAAACTGTAAATCAAACATTACCCATTTTAATCCCAGCAGAGCAGCTGGCAGATTCAAAGTGCAAGAGAGGTATGGCCTTTGGGTTAGCATATTTCCCAACTGACTCTGCCACCATAGCATCCCACCAAGTTCCTCCAGCAAGCTTGGGCAAAAGGGCCCCCAGTTTGGGCTCTGTTTCTGTGAAGTGATAGCTGCAGGTGAGTCCTATCTGATGTCGGCCTCTGGTGTTTCACTGCTGTTCCTGCTATGGTTCAAATAGAAACCTGTTGGACTCTCCATCTTTTAGTGGCAAGAGTCCCATTTTCTGTCTAAAGGCTCAATTTAAGCCTGAAGAGATGGCAAGACTGAGCAATTCGTAGTTGGCAATGTAAACATGCACCTCGTTTTTATATATTCCTACTCAGAAGGCACTAGTAACCTCACATGACTAGGATACTCCCACCTATCCCGGCGACAAAAGTCACTGAGCTAGGGAAGCCATTTTAAACAATCTACCACAGTAAAGCAGATAGTCATAGTATTATATGCTGGGGATGAAAAACAGGATGATGTTGCATTCATTCACTGTCAAGAAGTCAATTTCAGTTGGGTGGCATGATCTCAGTGCCATCATGTGACGCTGTCACCAGGGAAAAAAGTTAATTTTAAGTTCTATCCTTAACTACAATGTTGTGGGTGATATTATCTGTACACATTAAAAAATCTTAATGATTTTTCAAATATATACTACTGAAAATTTATACCAAATCTTGAAGCCTGAAATTGACCAGACATGCAATCAAGATGCATTAGTGATTTGGTGACTGGATTGCAAAAGTTGGAAAATACTGGGTTGGTGACAGAAATGAGGCTGGAAAGAAAATTATATCATTTTGTATTCATAATTTATTCACTGCAGATACTTCTCTCAAGTCACAAATGCCAACTTTACACATGAACCTCACTTGATGGGGCTACAAAGGAGTCACATTGACTACATCTGTGGAAAAGCTCAAGATTGACAGGCAAAACTAGGCTAGGGGAGGACTGTGGGACAGACCATCAATTACTTATGTGTAAGTTTAAATTGAGGCCA